AGGTGCAATAACAATCTTATCATCGTTAATTGGCCTCTGGCTAAAATATAACTCACATTCAATAAAGTATTGAAGTTTTATTATTTCAAATCTTTTATTATACCAAAATATAAAAATACAAAGATAGGAATAAAATCCAGTTTATTCCGTTCAAAATCAACAATAAAATACGTACGTATCAATAACCTCAAAATTTAGAACTTTGTATAGAGAAGACTAAAACGAATATGTGATAAAATCAACTTGTTATTTATGTATGAAATATAGGGTAGGAATTATTTACTTACGTTAAAGTGATCTTCACACATGAAAGCGTGAGATTTTACTGCTATATCTTTCGGGTTTCTTACGAGAGAGAATTAAGCACTTTTTCCAAATTTTAGTGTTTGTCGGAAGGTTCACAAACATTTTCTCCGGGGTTTTAATAGATGTGTTAGTACATTGTGGCACTACGCACCATTTATAAAACATTTTATCGCAGTAAAGTAATGAAATCGTCAACAATAACTAAATTTAATAGTCGACAGTCGTATTATTATGTGACGGTTACTGTGTTTATTGCATCATGACCTCACTACATTGAATAACCTGTATAGCAGTCTTTCGGCGGGTTTCTTATTCATTCAAACTTTCTCTGTCATTTTCATAGTAAAATTTGAAGGGAATAAATCAAATGGAAAATATGAATCAGCTATAAAGAATAATTTGAGATATTTTTTGTGGAAACGGTCAAATACACTATTGTCAAGTAATTAATATAATTTAATGAAACTAAGCCAAGTATTCTTTATTTTATATAGAAAAACCAAGTGGTATATGGCAGAAATTGTTCATTGTTTTGAAATTGCAATTCAAACACTGTTCTATTTAAAATTATCTGTCATAAATATTGAAAATATTTTATACGATAGGTGTCTCGTAAAGCCTAAAAATGGCTGAACCCTTTATTGGCCTAGAGAAATACTTTTTTCTATGATAAAAAAACCTACGTGTCCATTATAATACGGACATTATCCAAAATCCATCTGATAACAGTGAAGACAAAGCATGTAACCTGTTATTAGCCTCCAAAACAATAATTCAATTAAAAAAAGAACAATGATATAGTTAATAAATAACTGATTACCGATTAGTAATGATACAATACACAATACTATGAAACTTTTCAATAGAACTTTTATCCAATTTGAAATTATTATATAATGATTATAAGAATAGTTACGAAAAGTTATATTCATATGAAGGTCGTTACTCGGGATATATTTAACTCTGCGCGCTAAGAGAAATGAGGCATCGATAATATTTTTGGAAATCATCTTTTTGTAGTTTGATCATTTTCCTGAATTTAACATTTGCACATCCAGACTGAAACCGAACTAATCTCAAAAAACGATATGTTAAACTCTGAGAATTTCGATCTCAACTATCTCTATAACTTATTATATTCATAACAAAATAATAGATTCATCTTGGAAGAGAATATTGAAAATTGACAAACGAAAAGTTATAAATGACATGATTTATAGACAATATAAATAGTAGAATGCAATCCGCATTTTTACAATACAAATTCATTTATTTTATTTCATTGAATCTAATTGTTTAGGTGGCCCTCGGTGAAAACACTCAGGTGTCAAGCAATATGTCAAATGGAATGTGTATATATATATATATATATATATATATATATATATATATATAAGAAAATTAACACTAGAACATTCATTCGAAAAATTTAACTTAACCAAAAGAATGTTATAGTAGAGCTAGATATGTGAACGTGTACGATGTGATGTCTCCATTATCCTTCAAGGGATAAATGTTAGAGAAATATTGAAATCGATGCCATACCTGATGGAAGTGCGAGACATATATGTTTCGTTCTGCAAGGAACTCGTCAGTCGCACCACGTCCATCGAAGTGAGGCAACGATTTAAACCTCCAAGCATCTTCCTGTGACTTCAAGCGGAAGATCGTAGAGTAATGAATACTCTACAATTCCATGTATAGAAATCAGTAGAAAACATCTCTCTCAGATTACAGACACAACAAGCATCGAAATTTCGCATATCTTCTATACCCGTAGGTATCTACTAAATTGCAATGTCTATTTGACAAATATCATCATACGATGTTTTCAAATGTCAATAGCGGTTGCGTTAGTAGTACGCTCGCGTTTATTCCCGTATTTCAGGGGCCTATTCGGCGATATTTTTAAGGAAATGAAATTTTTTTGTGCTTATGGCACTGAATGAAATATTTAAGAAAATGAACACTAGTTCATTTGTACATGGTAGTCCCCCGGGAAGAAAGTATGGATGGAAAAGTATACTTGGGACAAATCTTAAAATGTTGTCGATCTTCTTCTACAAGAAACCCAATCCATCAATCCATAATAGATAATGAAGCCTCGGGAAAAAAGGTATGGGAAAAATTGATAATTATGTTGTCTTGGTCTGAAAAAGTCATATGGAATAAAATTTAAAATACGCAAAAACGTTAAGACCTAGTTATGGCACGTTACACACAAACTATATCTAGATGCTACACCTACTTCCGGTATAACCGGAAGTGTCGCTATCTTGAAAATATTTTATCAGGATGGCCCCCATCCACATTAGTTTACTACCAAATTTTCAGATTCGTCCGAAGTATACTTTTCCATATATGGAATATGGAGTTCCCGGTGGAACATCTTGTATATATAATGTGAGTACACAGTATCAACTTTCCGTTATTCGGTTTCAGCCAAGAAAAAACTCAACAGCTACAAAAATTGCAGAATTGCTATGCATTGAAGAATTTCGGAATGTAATTGATATACTCCAATCGAAAGAATTTTGAATTGCTTTGAACACTATGCTATTTAAACTGGAAATGCTTAATGCTGCACTTATTTTTTACTTGAATTTGAAAGTGAAGTGATAAAAAAATTACAAATTTGAGTGATGTGCACGCTTATAACACTAGAAACGCTAACAGGCTGTATATACAAACTTGAAGGGTTTGTAAATGTAGAAACAGAAAATTTTATGAAGCGTTCAATTCATACAATAAATTGTCTAACTTTATTAACTTTATAAAGACTGCAAATAGCCCCAAGGTACATCGTAAATTAGCTTTCAATTAGAGTTCATCTGAGACAATGATAAATGTTTAAGAATGAATAAGTATTATACGTAAATGTTGACTATAAACTTATTTGCATTTACACAAAGATGAATTAATTTTATATATATATATATATATATATATATATATATATATATATATATATATATATATATATATATATATATATATGAAAATTTAAAAGGGTTTATACAGAATTTATGAAAATAGAAAAGAAGTAATTTATGGTATTTACCTGCACTTTTATTTTTGCTTTCTTTTGTGACAGCCGTTTATATATGTTTCAAGCTAATTGGCTATCATCAGAACGTCGTAGTTCAAGTTATAGATGTTCAAACTTGGATGGTGATTAAGAACACGAAACAAAACAAAACAAAAAACTCCAATTGAGGAATCGACATCTTTGTGGTTTTAATTGAATCGATCTATAACTTGAACTACGCCGTTCTGATGATAGCCAATTAGCTTGAAACATATGTAAACGGCTGTAACAAAAAAAAAACAAAAATAAAATTGCAGGTAAATACCTTCTGTGATAAGAGAAAATTTATTTTTTGGTTTTCTTTCCATGTATTTTGTTTTATCATAAGAAATTTGTAACCCGGTTTTCTACGCAATTTCATATAGTTTTTCAACGGCGGGAATGGCTTCAGTTCTAATGGCATCATCACAGACAACAATATAGCCTGCAAAGGCGAGACATTTTATATTCATTCGATTTTGTTTTTTGATACCCACTTGTATGCTCTTCACGTGTACTTCTCATTCCCGAATGATCTTTTCTAAAATAATATTGAAAAGGATTGGCGAAAGTCTGTCCCCCTGCCGCATACCGGTTTTGATTTCAAATGGATCTGATACTGCGCCCATGAATTTTACCTTGGAAGTTTTAACTGTAAGTGTCTGTTCTATAATTAAATGAGAGGTAATAATAAAAACTTTTCTAAAAATCACTGACTGAACAATTCTTTATTCGACTAGTTTCGCCTTTTACAGCGTTATCAAGAATGAAAACATATTACAAAGACAACCTATAAATATTTTGCAAACCTGTTCGGACCACCTTGAATTACGTCATAGAGGTGGGGGTTTCCAAATTATCAGAGATTTAACAGCGGGGAATGGTTTAGGTCTAACTGGTCATTAAGAAGATCGTACTTATCGGATTTTTGAAGATTATTTATTTCCATGGCTTCCAGGTAGTTCATTTTAATCCCTTTTTCACAGTAATGAAGTATCTTAGCTTTAAAACAACTTGAGATCTTATGTCCTGTCGACTTTAGATGTTCCCGAAAAGCAGATTGTCCGTTTAAAAAACGGTTTTAATACTATGTGTAATCTTACAAAGTCAGTACTTATAGCTATTTTCACAGAACATACCAGGTATCTTCTATGACTAACTTGGAGTGGGGATCATAGAATAAACTGATATATAAGTGAATTAATGATTATCAGTGAATCAATGATTATCAGTGTATTCTATGGTCCCCACTCCAAGTTAGTCATAGAAGATACCTGGTATGTTCTGAGAAAATAGCTATAAGTATTGACTTTGTAAGATTACACATACTATTAATCCAGCATTTGATAAAGAAGTAGTACTTCGAAACGTCGTCATGCGTATTTTTTATTAAATTATGAGAAAATTTTAAATATTGTTGTATTATGGATATTAATTTCCTCCAAGTATCTGCCTCATCAATTACCAAGTGTTTATATGAGATTATTCACTCGATTCATGGCATGAATATAAAAGTTTGAGAAATGAACTTGTATTATCATCATAATATATAAGAAATATTATAAGGGAATGAAACAAGATATTGCATTGACATTCAGGATACTAATAAAAGTAATTCCCAGCAGCCGGCCTCGTGGCTTAGTCGGGAAAACACCTGACTATGGTGCGGTAGGATTCGAGTTCGAGCCCCGGTGAAGGCCAGGGTGTATGTGTTTGTCTATGATTTAAGTGTTTTAATGATGATAATTATTGAGTAGTGTACATTGATTATAAGTCCATTGACCGTTCGGAACCGACTTAAAGCTGTAAGTCCACTTAATTGGAAGAAAAATTCGCGCAACTATGGAAAAACCTGAAACAATTATTACCAAATTAAACTGATATTACACTATATGTAGTGGTTATAAAGGAAATAGTACGAGACTAGTTAATGGATAGATCTTATTTCTGCTGGCACATCTACATTTCATACTGATCTGCAGTAATATACTTTTTTTGTGGAATGCAGTTTTTTTTAAATTTTAAGCTATGGAATAACTTTCGACATTTACCAGCAGGCTAGGTGTGAGACAGTTGGTCGACTATGAACACTCAATAGGGAAATTCCATTTTAATTTAAAGATAACCTAAATGATATCGAGTAGGATAAACAAGGACACAATACGCTAAGGGACTGATCAAAGCGAGTTTTTTCTTCATACACATACAGGAAAAGTCACGGATTAACATGGGTATATCACATATAGGATAGATAACACAGGAAGTTCGACAGATATCCTAATCCTCATAAAATTTCCATTTAAATGCATAGACGAAGTCTACGTAAAAATAAGTAAATTTCATAGTTTACAGATATATTATTTATACTGAGGGACATATTCAGGTCATAGGGTTGGAGAATCTTTGAAATATCATATATAGCTTTAACTAATTTTTTGCGATACTGGTGATTATTGGTACACTGGAATAATATATGATCTATGGAACCTCTTTCACCACACTCACACAATGGGTCATTTCCCCTGTCAATCTTGTAAAGGCATTCAGGGTATACTGCATGACCGCTCCTCAGTCTTGATATAGAGCGAACGAAGTCTCTATGAAATTTGTCTCCACCAAAGTTCTTGAACTAAGGGACTTTTGGAGGAAAAGGCTGTATCGAAGAGTAATGACGTCCCTTTTGTTTCTCTTCGAAATCAGTTTTCCCAGATTTTAAACGAATCAGTTTCTAAACGATTTGAAATCGTGAAGGATTGAATATCTTTCTTATAAGACGATTAATTGCAAAGAGAATCCGAGGTTACAGCACCCACATCAACGCTCATCACTCGAAACTTCCATCCAATGCTCGTATCGTTCGGTTACGGGTTCTGTAACTCAAATAGCCTTACGCGTTGAGTATTATGTATATATGATAAAGATATTGCCCGGAAGTATTTAGGACACTATTGTTAATTCTGGATAGTCGAGAACGATTTCGCGATAACTTTGCGATTATTGCTGTACAAATTGAAATATTGGAAAAAAATCTTGGAGGCGTCCCATTTGCACTCCCTACTTTGCACTCGTACAGATCAAGCTACAGTATTGTATATTTGCATGGCGTGCAGCAGCAACACCTTAATAAGCTTCAAATTGTACAAAAAAAAGTGAATATTATTTACAACGGGAAGTTGCGGTATCCTTATGATTTTACATTCAAGGAAAGTGGGGTATACGATGTCTGGCAAATCTACGAGTACATGTACACTTCTTCATCGTTCACTTACCATCATAAGGAAAACATTCATGATATCGAATGCATCCATACACGTTACACGTCTCACATGTGAAAGTTGCTTCAACTTATATACCTCCTTATTTGAAAGAAAACAGCTACTCTTTCTGTCACTTAAATATAAAATTCTACAACTCACTGCCACTCTACATGTATTTTCAAAAAAATACTCAAGAGTATCTGTCTACTTTAGAAAGATCATAGAGTACATCACATTTTTCTGTGAACTGTTTTTATTGGTCTTGTTTTGATTAGTAATCTATCTATTCGGTCTTACATCTTCGACAATCATAGTGTCTAATAAAGTATTCAGATAATTGATGAACTTTAGTGAGAAGCAAGCTTCCTCTATCGAAGAAAAGACAAGCTCCCCAGCATTCTAGATTTCTACTCATGACAACATTACTAAGAGTACGTAGAGGCTTTGTAGACTTTTCATTCGAACACAACAGAAATCTGTCTGCAATGTGTAATAATGGTCCCATGCCTAAAAGCTCCAGATCACGCCTCGGAGGCCAAAAGTATAGCTAGTTTCAAGATTCACAAATCATTCATGCAAGTGAATACGGAAACTCTTAATCGAAATCTTGAAAATGAAATTGTGAGGGAGCTGTCCACACAAATGTTGTCAACAAGAACGAACCTATCACTTTTGCGAGTGAATATTAAGCGCGCTTCGAAAAAGCATTGAACTTATTGAATGAAAATAAGATACAACTGTTTCATCATTATTATGAATGACAAATTGGTTGAGGCTTTCGCGGCCAGTCGTTGAACTAGTATTGTCCTGGTTCGGGTCTAAGGGCTGTCGTAGGTTGGAATTTCTTCCTAACGTTTCGCTAGCACGAGTGACGAGCTTCTTCAGAGGTCGTTCCATTTCTGATACTGGAAGTAGACTGCTTACTGTAGTGTACTTCCAGAATCAGAAATGGAACGACCTCTGAAGAAGCTCGCCACTCGTGCTAGCGAAACGTTAGGAAGAAATTCCAACCGACGACGGCCCTTAAACCCGAACCAGGACAACAGTAGTTCATTATTATGAATCATCAGTCTTATTTAATCAATCAATCTAGATTCAATAACTTTCAATACGCTTCTAGGTCCTGTATCCGAATGAGATTTTCTTATCTTATTTTTTCTAATTTTTTATCTTATAATCATTCAACAATTTCGATGATTTTTCGAAGCGCGCTTAATATTCACTCTCGAAAGTGATAGGTTCGTTCTCGTTGACAACATTTGTGTAGACAGCTTCCTGAGAGTTTTATTTGAAATATTTCGATTAAGAGTCTCAGTATTTACGATTTGTGAATCTTGAAACAGTAGAAGTCCGATAATCCGGCACCTTCGGGACCGGCTCGGTGCCGGACTACCGAAAATTCCGGTCTATCGGGCGGTAATTGTAAGAACAATTAGGTTAATAATCAAACTACAGATACAGTATGCAAATATACATACAAGAAAGTTTATTTTACATTTCATATAATGTATGTACACGTAGTGTAAAACATATTCCCCCCTAGATTCAAAAAAGCCACTGATGTCTTTTTGTTTTCTTGACTTTTGATGTTTAGTATAAAATTAATTTCTAATGATATGGAAATCAATAATTTCTGAAGCATTGTAGCTGGTACCAGCCTAGGGAAAAGAGATAAGCGTATTTAGTGATTCTGCAGCTTCTGCCCAGCTGATATTTTCCTTTTTTCCGTTTCGGCATCTGAGTTACTTTGTTCAAGATTTTGAGTAGGCTGATCGGTTACTTCTTGTTCAACAGGCTCATTCTCGTCGATTAGAAGCCACTCCTCTACCTCATCTTCATGCAGGTTTTTCAAGGGATTGTCAGCACTTCTAACGACATCCAAAACTTTGGTCAGAGCATCTTGATGGTTTTCTTCCTCATCAGTCTGTAGAGTTAGGTCAGATGCTATGTAGAGATAGGTCAGAAGTTTTCTCCAGCATTTTCGGAGTGTTGAATTTTTCACCTGGTTCCAAGACATTGCAGTAGCATAGATGACATCTTTTTCTCTGAACTTTTTTTGAAAATCAGTCACGTCATAGTCGGCATTTAACAGTCCTTGAATAAAAGACCTTCTGTAAACCTCTCTTTGATTGAACCCCTTGGTTCATGGTTGAATCAAAGATGTTACGTTAGGTGGGAGCAGAGTAGCAACAGTATTTCCAGAAACTATCTCATCTACTGGCGGGTGGGCTTTGCAATTGTCCAAAAGAAGGATGGCTTTAGTATCTCAGCACTTCCGAATGATCTCGAACTACCTCGAAAACTTCCGATTAGCTCTCAAGCGTTTTTATTTGTTTTAAAGACACACTTTTGGGGAAAACCAACATTTTTACAATTTTCTGGAGCGATGCTGGACAATCCGGCATTCCGGACTGTTGAATGCCGGACTAATGGACTTCTACTTTATCTTTTTGTCCGCCTGTCTACAAGGCCTCTAGGTACTCTTACTAATGTTGTCATGAGTAGTAATCTAGAATGCTAGGGAGAGTTTTTACGTCTTCAATGTATGTTCATCCATTTTGGACCCACTAAGCTTTTCTCTCATTGAATACTGATATTAATAGAATATCACATTTTTAATGTATATATTTTAATGAATGTAAATTATTCAAATTAAACAACTTCGTTCGAAAGTCTTAAAATCTTAATCGCATCTGATACTCGGCAGTTTTATTTCAAGCCCCTCTAGAGAATTGTGTCTTTTAGTAGAATAAGCTTCTTTCATTTGTTTGCTGTCTGCAAAGTGATACAAGTTACTTCATCTATTGACTATTAATGAAGAAAACTAACAATAATTGTAAAAATTGTTTAAATTAGGATAAATCTAATTAAAATTAACTAAATTAAATTAGATAGCAATGGACACTTTGAAGAAAGTGTCCATTGCTATCGAAATAATTAGAATCTTTTGCAGAAAGTTAGATTGAACTTTCTGAAACCCTTTGGATGGATATGTTCTTCCTAGACTAAAGGAGAGGAATGACTCCTATTCTCAGATTGTGCATGTGAAATTTTTCGCCAATACAACATACTCATCAGTGTGTACTTCAACTTATACGTTATTTATTATTGTGCGACCCTCACAATTTGCTTCACATAAGTGACTTGTGTGAGATGATTTTCTGCAGTGAAGCGCGTTGAGCTGCGATTTCGATCTTTACTGTCACGAAAACTCTTGCATTTCTTATTATAAAGCTCATCTGAAACTTATTTCCCTTCGAAAAAAAAATGTGTATCAGCTTGGTTCAAATTTAGATATGATTCATTGGATCTCATTTTGTCTATTGGAAATTAAATTCAGGGATTTGTATATTTTATTTTAATCCGGAGGGCCCGGCGCTTTCGGCACAGTCCGACCCTGCAGTCACTCATGATAAAATAATTACAGTCGAAGTAAATTTCAAC